AGACTTCGTCTTCTTCACTCGGTTGCCTGCGTTTATTTTTCGGTGACCTCTCTCTCTCCTCATTAACGTCGTTTCGACATTCTTTTTCTCCTTTTTCCTCCATTCCCGAGTCTCTTTCTCCCCCTAATTCTGTTTTTGGTATTTGTTTGGCTCGTAAAGGCCTCACACTCCCGGATCTGGGAGGGTTCAAAAATCTGACATTTTGTCTCCCTTACTGACGGTGTACAACGTGTAGGACTCGTCTAAATCTACCCCTGATGTGTGTAAAAGGCTCTGGGATTACTTTTGTTGCGTAAAATGGAGGTTTTAACGTCGATTTCGTAGGGTTTGGCCTCGCTGGAGTTTCGTCGGATTTTCTTTGTCTTCTTCGTTTTCACTTATTTTTTTCTTCTTTGCAGGTGTTTTGGGGTGGCTAAAGGTCGGGATCGAGTTTCCTTGGCGTCCCAGACTTCGGCCGCCCTTTGTGGGTCGTGTGCGAACGAAAACTCTAGCGAACGCCGTAGTTTTCAGTTCTGCCGATGACTCTGTTATTTATTTATTTATTTATTATTTATTTTAATCCGATCCGTTACATGGGTTAAGAAGGGTTTTGTTATCTCTCCACCATATTTTTCGTCCTTCCGTAGGACGAATGTTGCGCAAGCGACCTTTTGGTTCTCTGGGCACTTCATAGTCTCAAAGGTGGTTTCTACCGTTGCAATCCACATTTGGGCTTCTATAGGGTCTTCTAAGGAATCGACGAAGGGTCGAGGGTCATATCTCTTGAAATCCTTTGTCTATTTTGAACATCTAATAGGTTGTAGAGGGTTTATTAGGACGTTGGCCTAAGCATCGACTTGTGCCTGTGCCTGTGCCTGTGCCTGGGCATGTTGGCTGGCTAGTAGATTGGCTTGCTGAGTGGTTACCAAGGTTTGAATTAAGGCTTGGATAGACTCACACATTAGCTTAGTATTAGCATCTACCCTAGGTGTTGGGGGTGCAACCTCAAGTGCGGCTTGTGGTGGTAGAGCAGGCTAGGGTAGAGGTTCAGCTTGTGGTGGAAGCTCAGCTTGTAGTGGAGGCGCTAAAGGTGGTAGCGCAACTGGTGGTAAGACTGGGGGCAGCATAAATGTTACCGACCCAGCCTCTGATCCTTCTCGAGGTAGGCCCTCTACTGCCACTCCTCGTCCTATTCCTCTAAGACGGGGTCGCCCCCATCCTCGTCTCCTCTTCCTCTTCTTCATCCACTAGGCATGGTTCTATAAACCAATATAAGGTTCCTTAAGTCTAAGACCTTAATACTATGCGTGAATAAATAACAATATACACACTATACAATACATCATAATGCCACATAAGTAAACACTCAACATGTTATACATCATATCATACTCATTAATAAATACTTAAAATATACCACAATTTCAGCAATATTAACAAGAAAATGCATATGAGTTGAAAACGTTTCTCCTTTCTTATCTTATTCAAGGCGTACCTGACGGTGACGAATCATCGACGTTGGGACCATGGAGAGTGTCAAGCCTACATTGCAGGCTAGTCTACAGAATCTAAAACCTAGAGCTCTGATACCAATTGTAACGACCCTAAATTTCTACATATCCAGAGTTGCCACTAACGTCTCATGCTCATCTCTAATTCAGAATATAACTCTAAAAATGCTCATCTTAAATAGCAGAAAATTTTAAAATTCAGAATACATTAAATAACTAGAAAACACTGCCAAACTTACGTGTTTCAAACAACATGCTGAAGTTCAAAGTAAGATAAAAACTATTGCAAATTAAATAATTTAGACAAATGAAATGCAAACACCCTATCCTAACCAAGACTAGGAATTTTAAATATGCAACTATCCTATGCACGCGTCACAGTCTCTAATCACGATACCGCCGTCAACCGTACATGGGGCCCTTGCCTTTACCTGAAAAAATAATATGGCACACGGCCTGAGTATTTAGAAATACTCAGTAAATGACCCCACTATAGGAGCCATGCTAATGCAAACACATGCAATCATGAATTAGAGACCTATCTCTAATCATCATAAGGTGGCCTCCAGTCTCGGACAAATTGGATGTGTAGTACTTCCCTACACATGACTCACACGTGCGAGTGTGAATCCCCAGGGTGCTCGCACACCCCCTGGACCCTCTGGTCAAGCTAATCTGTAGCGACTTTCGTAGGTCAGCGGAACCCCATAGTGTCATGCACCTCATGTACACCCTCATTTGTGCACATTCGCATTCATCATCATACGGTGCACGTCCGCACTCATCATCTCTAGGGGATGAACACACAATATGCATGAGGTCCCTCTAAGTCCAATTATACGTCTCTTCTGACACAACCCTCTAGTCTCATCTCTTTGTTACATTGTGTAACACGTGCTCGTGGATATTTACATTAATATCATTTTCATGCTCTTAGGGTTGTGTCCTATGTCGATCTAACGACGAGATGCAATATGGCATACAACATCATAAGGCATGTTCAACATGGAAAACATCATCATGTTAACAACATCGTCATGCATACATCATACTTATCATAAAAGCCATTAAGTGCATCAAATATAACATGTATGTCATGCATCGAAACATAAATAACGTACATATAACATACATCACAACATAATGTCATACTCATACATTATCATAATTCATAGAATCTTCAGCCTATCCTATAGTAAGGCCACTTACTTGGTTGGCCTTGGCCGAAGTACTCCCTAATTAGCTAAACGTAAGCTCACATTCCTTGAGAGGTGCTTCCTACGTTGCCGGGGTTTACACCGTTCGCCACCTTCTGTTAATATTTCACAATTAAATTACCAATAACTCAATAAATGTGAAATACGGATCTAAAACAGCCTCGAATACCTTAATCGAGACCGAAAATAGGTCCGAGCGGGACAGAACGGTGGAAATCGGGATAAAATCTGAGAAGCCGAGTTGAAACAGCTACTGAGAGCCGCCGGAGGAGTCGCTGGAGCTTTGCCGGAAGGAGGCCAAGCCGTTTGCGCCAAGCCGAGCCGAGGGACCGCCTGCGTCGCTGTGTGCCACATGGCAGCAGCAGAACGTGCCACATCGTGCGGTGGTGTCGGGTCATAGTTCGGTTCGGGTCGTCGGCTGTAGAAGGCTACTGGGCCGGACTGATCGTTGGGCATTGACTTATTGGACTGGGTCGCAGGTGTTTAAGTTGTAGGCCCGTTCGAAATTTGGGCCTCGATTTCGCAGGCTGGATTGGGATTGGTTTGGGCCTCGGGTCTGGGTATTCGATATGGGCTGCCCTAGATCCGATGGATCCTTCTTCCTTACCTGACTTCTGCGCAATTTTCTGGCTCATTTTCTCTCTCCTTCCCGCGACGTTTTCGTTGCTGATTTCGATCCCCTTTCTTCCTTTTCCTCTTTGTTTGTCGTCTCTCTTTTCTTCCTCGAAGTTTTGTGACCTAAAAATTCTTAAAACCACATATCTAAGAACGTTTAGGAAAACCCAATTTTCCGACTCGATTAACGACGACGACGCTTACGAAAAGGCACAAAACATACCTATGAGTTATTGTGCTATCGTTAGGGATCCTTCTCGTGATGGTAACTGAGCATTTGGCATCGATTTTCGAGTGGTTTGGGACTCATTGGAAAAATTGGAAACTCGCCGACGTTATTCGAAATCTTTCTCTCTCTCGTATTTTCTTTCTTTTCTCTGTTTGCAGGTATTCTGAGGTGTTCTGGGAGTTTTGGCTGAAGGCTGAGCGGAGTGCGGTTGTCATTTCGCGTGGGATTNTGTTTCCTCCTACTTCCACGGCGGGACTTTCTTCGCCGCCGTCACGAGAAAACGGAGTACACATCGGAATGTTCAAAAAGTCCATCCAACGCAACATATTCGGTATCGTTATAGAATCTCCCTCCTTCTCCCAACTCGAACGACTCGTAACTCGGAATCGCATCTTCAAATCCCCAAATCTCTCCCATCCCGGACGACTCCGACGACGCCCGAGTCAGTTCCGCTGCCTCCGCTTCACCGCCGTGGCTGGTGGAGGCCTCGGACGGAGGGAGCCCAAGCTCATCGTCTGATGCCACGAGAAGGTACCCGAGCTCCGGCAGGGACTCGTCGGTCGCTGCCGGGAGCGACGGCGGAGAGGAGACCGGGGAGATCTCGTCGGCGAAACTCTGGATGACGGAATCGAGATCCTGAACAACGGGATCAGGGTCGGCGTCTTCGAGAAGGCCGAGGAGGTCGTCTTTGAGACGCTTGACCTCCGGTGTGTCGGACTCCGAGTCGACTGAGTCGAGTCGGAGGCGCTTGTTTGAGGAAAGATCCGCCATGGAATGGTTGATCGGAAAAGTGAACGGGAAGGGTGGGGGGTGAATTGCAGAGGTGAGGATGCGGCGGGAAAGCGGAGAGGAGGAATTTATATAGAGGACAAAGTAAAGAAGGAAGGAGAGAGTTTTGGAGATGATAGTGACATCTGGCGCGTGGTAAACAATGCGTACTCTCTCTACATCACGGACGCCTCCTCTTTTTTTACATTCTAATTTTTCCTTTTTTCTTTTTTTTTTTTTTTTCTTCTTTTTCTTTTTTTGTCAATCAACTTTTTGGCTTTATCTTTTTTCTACAATTAATTGGTTTCTAAATTTTATTTGAATAACATTTTGAAGTCCGAAAAACCGGACCCACCGGCTCAGTCAGTCGACCATAAATAATACGGTTCTTCTTTATTTCCACTTTTTTTTTTTTTTTTTTTTTTTCTTTTTCTTTTTCCCTAGTCGCTACATACATGATAAAAAGAGTTATAGATTTTTAGCATAATGTTGAACAATATATTATAGTTAAAAGGTATATAGTATAGGTATAAAGTTAAATGTTTTATTCTTGTAACACGGTTGACATAATTCACTACATATAAAAACATGAGAGCCATACCATTGGACGGAATGAATTTGTGTAAGATTAAATGAGAGGAAGTTGTCAAAAACTAAAATAAAAGAAGGTTAAAAAGTTCTAGGATGGCGTTTTAATCCAACCCCGTTTTTCGGGGAGATTTTCGTTCATCTTCTCTCTCGCGTCTGTGACGTTCAGCTGCCCCGATTCCGACTGCAACTTCCTAAATCTCTTTACCTAAATTTTTCCTCATAACTAGCAATTGCTCCTGATCCTCGGACATAGAAGAGATGGGCATCGTGGACGGAGGCACTCAAACTCAGTCAGCAAATCCGAACATGGGAAGAGAAAAGCCGAAGGTGGTCGTGATTATGGGGCCGACTGGTTCTGGGAAGTCACGTCTCGCCATCGATTTGGCTTCTCACTTCCCCGTCGAGATCATCAACGCCGATTCTATGCAGGTTTATCGCGGCTTGGACGTTCTCACAAACAAAGTTCCTCCCCAAGACCAAAATGGTCGGTCAGTTTCGTCTATTTGCATGCTGTTCTCTCCAATTGTTTGTGCTACCCCTGGTTCCGATTAATTACTCAATTTTTTACGTTATCTAGGAGTACCGCATCATCTTTTAGGTACAGTGAGTCCAGACGTTGAATTCACGGCTAAAGACTTTCGAGATTCTGCCATTCCTGTAAGTTAGCAGCACTGCATCATGTCCAGGTTTTTTGCTTCTAGCATTACGCATTTTAGAGATGCAAGCTGAAAAAATTGAATTGATGTGTGAAATTGTCAATTCCGTTAAAACGGCAACAATTGTGGTTTAAATATGTAGTTATCACTTGGCCCATTCTACTGTAGTTTTTTGAATGCTGTTTTCCAATGATATGGGTTGATGAGCTTTTATTTACTAAGCTACCGTTTATCGGTCAATAGCTATCTCGATTAAGGTCGAGAAGTTAAACCGCTGGAGCAACCCTGTCATCATACTCTAGTCGCTGGTCTCATCCAGACATATAGGAGTTTAGGCCTCTCGTTGTACAGTACTTGTGGCACATAGGTGGAGGAGTAGAACCATAGGTAAATTGGGAAATATCAGTTATGTACTTGAGTCTTAGGATGAAGGTGGTTGGCAACTGAATAACCGGCTGATCAGAATTTAATAACGAAAGTTAGAGTGTTATAAAGGAACTGAACAAAAATGGACAGTGACTTATGGTTTAGAGACCATCATTTTAGGTTAGTAACTCTATAATCCTGTGTTGTTTGTTGCACATTCAATCGTATTGTTTATATGAAGTGTGTGAGATGAATTTTCCCCTATAGTTAATGTTATTTAGGTGGGCTTGTCCTGATTCTGCTTTTTGATTCTCAGGTTATTGATGACATATTATCACGTGGATGCTTGCCAATGATAGTGGGTGGAACGAATTATTATATACAGGTAAGAAAATGTCCTATTTCGTCATCTAATGGCTAATGAGATAATTTGAGTGCTTCTCGCGGCAAGTATTATTGTTGAAGTTCTTTTAATTGTTCTAGTCCAAGAATGTTGTCATGTAGTCTGAGGAAATTTGGGACATCTTAAGACTAGTTCTTGACATTTTAGAACATGTCTCTTGAGTCTTATCATTAGGATCTGCCTATGGGGATCATCTTTTGACCTAGTTTCTGGCATTGTACTTGAAATATGATCATTTGGCTGGAGAAATACTAGGTGTAAGCATTCAGCTGGACTTGGTTTCTGGCCAAAGTCATCTATGATTTTTTTCAAAAATTCAAACGAGCTAGACACCTGCTTGAATAATCCAAACAAATCAGCAAGTACCAGCTAAAATATCAATTGAGTCGACCAAAATTGGCCAAACTCAAAATCTAACTGGGTCCTTGTTCTTCTTTGTTTTGTTTTGTTTTTGAGAACCGAATAAGGTCCTTGTTCTTCTTTGTTTTTTCTTTTTTTCTTTTTGTGAACTGAATAGGGTCCTTGTTAATGAATAGATGTCGATATTCTATGGTGTATATTGGCTTCAGTTGTCAGCTGTAAATTCTATGACCAAGTTGGTCGGCTATGATATTAGGATGGTCTCCTAGAATTTTAGAAACATTGGATGGCCAGCATACACTCTTGGGGGGATTTCTAGAGGTGTTCTCTTTTTGTGGTTCTGGATCTTAGGGTGTTACTGTTACCATTTGATTTAAGTTTGGTAATGGCATTTTGGATTTAGGCAATAGTCTTGTGGGCATAGAGGACATTTCTGACAAGAAATTGAAGATTTGGTAGGGATGTGTGATTGCTAATGGATCTTAGAGAACTTATGTCGATGAATCATCCTCTCTTGATTCATTTTGCAGTAGCATACAACAAACCTCTTCTTGGTGGTGCTCCAGTAATATGAAATTCTTTTGTAATTGTAGCCTTTTGATAATTATTAACGATTGGAAGAATTTTCTTTAGTAGTTCTTTGAACAAGCATTCATCTACCATGGCCCTAGGCTGTTATTGTGCCAAAAAATCTGTGACAGCTAATGTTGTTTACAGGCGATTTCAACGTTTTGTGATGGCCTTACAAAAAATTCATTAGTCTCCCCATTGGCCATGCCCCATCAACCCATAGTCTCCCCACATAAACAAAAGGCCACCAACTTCTCACCCTACTTTTCACCAATCTCAAAAACCCCATCTATTATTCTACTTCTTATCCCCGACCCACAAGTTGTGACAACATCACCAAAAAAACATGACATCATAAATAACCAAAAAACCTTCCTCGTCCCAGGAACAAAATTCTCCATTGTTGGCATTGATCAAGAACTGGATGATGAATATGCATCTAGCTCCCTACCCCTCTCCACTGCCCCACCACCCCCCACGGCGGGTAAGGCCAACATCTCTCACCCGTTGCTAGAGATGACCCTTGCGGATACAAAGCTTGGCACTCTTTTTCAAGAAAAGCAGAATGAAACAGAGGTAGAAGAGGTCAGCCCGATATCAGCGACACTCACACCAACAATGACCATCTAAATCTTGCCACCATGGCTATAGAAACACCACATGTGCATCATGACTATTCCATCTAGGAAAAAGAAGCCTAGTACGGCCAAGAAGCCGAGCAAACTGACTAAAGAGATTGTTGATCTCCTTTCAAACATCAATTATTAGAAATTGAGCAAGTCACAACTGGGAGGTCAATACCTCTTATGATTATTATCTCTTGGAATGTTAAGGGTTGGGAGATTGAAAAGAGAGTCCTAATCAAGTCCTTCATCCTCAAATACAATCCCACTATGGTTGTTCTTCAAGAAACAAAATTAAATTACGTTGCTTGCTGGATAGTTAAATCCCTTTAGAGTGCCAGACGTATTGGTTGGTCAGCTTTGGATGCTCGGTACATTGAGGGATCTTAATTGATACAATGCCACTACAAGTGTACACACTTTACACTCAGGGAAAAAAGAAGCAGTCACGTATGGAACTCATTAGTTGCATTTTTTCTTCATGTAGTTTTTTTTTTTTTTTTTTTTTTTTTTTT